CCTCCCTCCTCCCTCCCTCCCTCCCCTCCCTCCCTCCCTCCCTCCTCTTCCTCTCTCCCTCTCCCCTCTCTCTCTCTCTCTCTCTCTCTCTCTCTCTCTCTTCTCATCTCTCTCTCTCTCTCTCTCTCTCTCACACACTCTCACACACACACACACACACACCACCACACACACACACACACACTGGTCGGCTCTTTCTCTCCTTTTCTATCCCGGTCGGTCTCTCTATCTTTCTCTGTCTCTCTCCCTCTCTGAAATTTCGGAATTTCTTTTTAATCAGACTTGTCACTGGCCGCTATGGATATGAACAAAAATAGTCTACGGAATCCTCAACTGGACCATTGTCTGCAGACGTACGGCGAATACTGGTTCTCTGGACATCGTTGTTGTCGGTTCTCAGTATGCAATAATCGTTACTAATGGATGAGTCTGGAAATTATCAAGCTTAGAACATTCCACAGTAGGCGACTTATTCATATAAAAGTAGATTGGATATATAGTCCTTATCCGCATGTTGGAAGTTTTGATTTCTATTTTTTAATGTTACGTTTCATGTACCTATTTTACTGCATATAAAAACGTCTCATGTTTGTATCATGGATTTTATATTACCGGTTGCCATGCTAAATGATACGAAATTACTTAAGGTGATTTCAGAATAATTGATGTAAAGCTGCAAGAAATATAATCATTCATGAAAGTATAAACGTACTTGATTTGATTATTTATGTCGTTATCCAGTTTTTATTCATTTGTTTTTTCTTTGAACGCCATTTAAAATAATCTTATAGTATTATCATTAGATTAAGCAGGTCAATAGATATGTGTATCTAATACTTGAGTCTTCAAGAATGATTAGTATGCAGTTTTCAGTCATGTGGAAGCAGAAAAAAACGGAATTCTCTAAGGGTGTATCATGTTAGCATTTCAGCCATAGACTTTCTTATCAATGTCATTTTTGTCGTTCGAACATGGCAGCCCAGGTGAACAACTCCAAAGACTGTACAATATGCCACCATGTGTAAGAATTTCGGTAAGCGCATCTAAATGTTGATTATACAGTGCTAGCAAAATCTTTCCGAGCAAGGGATGTGGAAGCAGATACTGTTCTCTGTCTCTCTGTGTCTGTCTGTCTGTCTGTCTCTCTTTCTCTCTGTCCGTCGTCGTCCGTCCCTTTTTTCTTTTACTGTTCTCCTCTCTGTGTCTGTCTGTCTGTCTCTCTTCTCTCTCATCCGTCCGTCCCTCCCTCCCTCCCTTCTTCCTCCCCTTACACACCCCAAGTCTGTTCCTTTGTCTATATCTTCTCTATATCTATTTTGACTTGTGCTAATGATTCCACTGTGGATGTATTTTCACTAGAGAAAGAAGGAAAGGTAAACAGGAAGAAAAATGTGTAGAAATGGTATGGAAAAAAAACACATAACATACTGTGCTAATTTTTTCGATTTCCCTGTAGTAACACGTTTTTCTTCATCTACCTTTCTAAACACTTCGAAGGAAAGTGAAAACTGTTTATGGTATAAATACTATTTTAATAATATTTAGCAATATATACAGTATCACAAGTATAAAATCCAACTTCTGCATCACTATATCACTTCAGAATTTACCTCTTTACACAAAATAAGGCATCTTTAAAGTATATTCAGATATCATTTATGTACTTACAAAGCCATGTGTAAAAATCCCACAGCAAGTTGTTGAGAGTAAAGTTTCCACTAAACTATGTGAGCTTACAAAACAATACTGCATATTTAAAGAAAACCAAATACAACTTTCTAAAGCTCTTGAAATGCTAACAATACTACAAATAAGAAATTACTCAATAACCATACTATATCTGACTGCAACCTGAGTAAACATTGCAAATGTAAGTGAATACAGAAAAAAATCACAATGAATTCATTAATGACTAGATGGATTATACAATCACATGCTTGTTTTTCATCACTTCTTTCCCCATATAATTTCCTAAATATGGAGAAATACAATTTCTGAGTAAGTATACAAGTGAACCTAAACTAAAGAATGCATTCAAGTGCACATTTTTGTGTAGATGTACATGTATTTAATGAAAAATACAAATAAAAACTCTGTATTTCACAACAAAAACCTAATATAATGCACACATGAATATATGTATATACACATTTCCAGGTATATATTAAATATTTCCTTCCTTTGCTGTTTCCCTATGGCCAAAGGGTTTGTGGGTATATATTAAATGTATGCAATAGCAAAATAGGCTTAGATATAAGTGAAAACTATAGGAAAATCAGGGCACTTAACATACATACTTAGTAATTACACATCACACACAAAAACATTAAAATGATGCCAAAAACTTTCCCTTTATAATGGTACTTAAAGATAGAATATTTTCAACATAATCCTATCCACATGATCATACTCTTCTTTAATATATACATCACAATAGTAATCATACAAAACACATTTGAGTTTAAAAGAATTTAAAGCCATTTCAATCATAGGGCTTTTGAAAACAAAATAACAAAGCACCAATCAAAATTGAAAATTAGATACAAACCAGTACAAATGTTTGTGCACAGAAGCAGGTATCACTTTTAATGTTTCATTTTCTGTAAATTAACATTTTTATCGTCTCAAATGTTCTACCATAACTATGTCATTGGAAAGAAATCTTGTTTTATCCTGTGACTGTGCAGTATCATTAACTATGTGAATAATGATATTACTAATATTTAGATTAATAGTTAAGTGTCTGTGTGTGTTTGTGAATGTGCATGTGCGTGTGTGTGTTGGGATTGCTTATGGATGAAAATATGCATCTCTGTGTAAGCATGTATATGAGTATGCAGGAGCATGTACGTGTGGGAGTATGTGTGGGTGAGAGACATGTGTAAATGACTGTGTTTGTTAGCATATATGGAATAATGTGTGTGTGTGTGTGTGTGTGTGTGTGTGTGTGTGTGTGTGTGTGTGTGTGTGTGTGTGTGTGTGTGTGTGTGTGTGTGTGTGTGTGTGTGTGTGTGTGTGTGTGTGTGTGTGTGTGTGTGTGTGTGTGTGTGTGTGTGTGTGTGTGTGTGTGTGTGTGTGTGTGTGTGTGTGTGTGTGTGTGTGTGTGTGTGTTGTGTGTGTGTGTGTGTGTGTGTGTGTGTGTGTGTGTGGTCTATATATGTATATGTAGGGTGGGATGTGAATGCAATATAAATGTGCCTGCATAAATGCATCTAACTGAGAATCTTCTTGTACATTTTCATTTTCAATATATTCACATCAAATGATGTTTCATAAAAAGATGCAAACAATTTAGAAATTTCAGCAACATACAATAAGCACTATTTATATTTTCCTAAAGCTATGCCTTTGACCTCTTAACAATAAAAGGATATAGAAAATTCTTTAATACAAGCAAAGGACTTGTTTCAAAACTGTAAAGTAAAAAAATACAAATATGATGCAAGTATAAGTAAATAAGTCAGTGTAATAGTACTTCGGGACAAAAGAAAAACTTCCCAATTACCAGTAAAGATATAATACATTACACTGCAATACAGTAAAAATTTGCATGAATAAGAATGAGAAAGATAAAAGAGTCAATGAATTTTGTTACCATTTATATAAATAAATAAATAGATAAAGTATGTATGAATATATATATATATATACATAAATCATACACATTATATAATATATATATATATATATATATATATATACATAAATCATACACATTATATAGACAGATAGATAAATAGACTGATATATACATATATATAGATATACAGACATATCTATCTATATATCTACATCTATCCACTTATCTATATCTACACAGAGATACACAGACAGATATGTGTGCATGTGTATTTATCTATTTATCTATTTACTAAGAGTACGTTTTCTTTATTTATCTGCAGTTTTTATCTTTTCTTTATCTATTTACTGAGACTTTACATAATTTTCTGTTCTTTCTTACCTGCAGTTTATAATAATACCATCAAGTGTAGCAACACAAAGCAATGAAATAATAACTCTTTTCAAGCTGATAAAATCAGCATTGTGGCCATAATTTATTCAGGTACTTCATAGGGTTCATTGCAATATGCAAGTCTGGTATTACTCAACTTATAATAATGTGCAACTTTTAAGTAATTCTATACAGGGGGGAAAGTAACCATTTGCTCTTAGTTAAAAAAAGAGAGAAAAAAATCTCAATAAATCTCATGTACATCAAACTGAGCAGTAACAAGTTGTTACACCCAGATGATTGAAAACTCTAGAGAGTAGCTTTAAAAAGTGTTTTGATAATGATGCAAAAATAAGAAATAAAAATCTACAGCTGTGATATCATGTAAAACCACACTCAAAACAAAAAACTTTTTTCCTGAAAGTATACCACTAATTACATGGTAAGCAAGATACATTTCCCTTATTCATAAAATCAGTAAATCAATAGTTTTCATACAAACAAAATATTTGATTAAAAAAAAAAATTGCCGACTCTAAATTGTCAATCAATGTTCACAAATCATGTTATTTTACTAATCATCCCCTAAATTCTGAAATACTGTTGACAATAACACCTCAAAGTAAAGAATTGCCAAGGTAAATTTGTAGTTTCAGAAGTATTATTTTGTATATCCCTAATATGTCACTTGGTTAGTCCACCGTGCATCCCACATGTCTGGAAAAATATATTCTCCTACCTCAGCTTCTACTCTTCTTTAGATTGGGTGGATGGGTCTGACTAGGACAGAGGATAGGGCATGATTTTCAACACCAGAAAACATTTCTCAAACTGGATATAAGTTATGCGATGCTGGTGTAAGGTGGGTGGATGTGGGTTGGAATGGGAGGTCAAAGACTAAGGAGACATAATTTCCTTCATCTTAATATTGATAATGCCAAATACATACCAAAAGTGAAACAACAAAGTTCAAGAAAGAAAACAAAAGTGTGGGGTGGGCTAGAAAGGGCAGCTCTGAGATGTGCGATGCTAGATTAGGTTTGGTACCTCTTGTACTGAGATTACAGAAGGCTTTAAGACGAAAAAACAATTATTATATAGAAAAGAGGGGATAAAATGATCTAAGTAAATGTATGGGAGGGGCAAATGGTCACTATGGCCTCCCTGATGCTTTCTTTTGTCAGATCTCCACTGGATAGGAGGAGGCCAAAACTACAGTCTGCAAAGTTTTGTCTAGGCCACATTTTAATTTAGTGAAGACTGATGTCACTAGGAATTTTAAGGTTAATTTATAATGAGGATATCAAATGAGTAAATATGCTAGCAGTAGCACATTATAAAAAGTTTCACACAGACAGGAGCAGACATACTAATAGGAATAGCATGGAAGTGTTGTTGGAATCAATTGTTCTTGATAGGGGGATACTTTCATTTACGCATTTTTAAAACTATTAATCTAAATAACTTGGGAACTGATAAGTTGTCCAACTGTACTATGTGACTAGCATGTTATGCTAAGAGTTTGATGATGTCATTAAAACATCCATGCTGGCAGATTGTCCATACTGTGCAGGACTGTATGAGAGGTGTCGAGTTTCCTTCAAAATTACTTAATAACTATGTTACAATATGAAAAGAACCTATTCAACAAAGGCATCTGATGCTTTAGATACATTAATTATGGTTAATTTCTTTAGTATAGAGAAGTGTACATAACATGATAATTTCCTCATTATCAAGGAAAACTATACCTCAAAAGATTATTTTGTGCCTACTTGAAATTATTGTAAATTATTTAATAATCATTCAATACATAATAAAATTACAATTTGCCCTATTTAAATATTTACTAAAGTTTATAGATAAACAGAATATATAGGTCACATCCAGTGATATGTTCCCCAGAAAAAGAAGTTATACACTAAGAAAACCTAAAATTGTTGCAGCCTTTCATGCATGACACATGATTAAATATATTTCAAACAAAGTAAATGAGGTTATTCAGGAGCACTTGTAAAAACTCAAAGTTAGTTTCCATATTTTTCAGCTTAAATATGCACTGGTGTGTAGGATGCACCTTCAATTTAAAATGAAATATACTGTCCCCTTTGGAGACTACCAATCATTGCAGATAATATCTCGTACTCACCAATCCTTAAATTTCCCATTATTTGTACAATTTAGGATATTTCATTGGTGATATTATGAACTGTACAATTATTCAAAATGGACAGATAACCTCTCTGCAAGAATGCTAACTAATCCCAATGTCTGAGCTCTATGTTGTGTTTTCATTGTCCTCTTTATCACATTACATTATTAATGTACAATACTATACACATTCAAATTATGTAAAGGTGCAATTATAATGGTAAGCTTCTGGTTGAATGTAATAAGCTGTTAAAAATGGAACTGCATAGCAACTGGACATGACATACTTCATGTTTAAATGCAAATGCATGTCTCAAGACTTTATGTGATGTATATGCCCTGTTTTCTGGTTAGTACATGCCATTCTTTAATAGAAAAAGTGACTATTTGTGCTGATTGCCAGTTACAATATTGCATGATATTTATTTTTGTAAGATATGGAAATGAAAGACATTAATGGGAAAGATAAAAAGTTTTATGATAATATATGTAAATAAGTTTGGCTTACATGTCTAATTCATTGAAAAAGTGGATCTATCTCTTGTAAAATTGTACGAAATTCTATAGGGATATTTAAAAAAGGTTTCTTTCTTGTATTCTGAGATAATGGTGCCAAATGCAAGCAAGTTGTTAAAAGTACTACTATAATGAAATACATTGCAGCAAGAAAACACTTATGAGCAATGAGAATGCTTTTTGTCTGTACAACTCAACATGAAGAAAAAATATAAAATAAGGAAAATTGTTGAAAATTGTAAAAGAATCATTTTTGTATTAGAATTTCTCTGGAAAAAAAAGTCAAATATAGATAAAGGTATTTCAAATCCTCAGTTTTCTAAAGCACAAAATTAGTAACCTTTTTGTATTTTGTGTGGATAAATTTCAACCAATTTTCATTTCCAAGAATATCTCTTGTGTATAAAATTAATGATACATTTCCAGGCTTCAGAAATTGTGATTAACAGAATTACTTTATTGCTTGCATCTCTTTGTTCACAAAGCCTGTCTTTCTTTACTGTAAATCACATGTAAAAGTGATGTTTTCTTATAACATTCACATATCTGAATGAGGTAGAGATTTGGTAATGCCAACCTGTCAAGGCCATGACACCACAGTAACAGTAACTTCTTGGCCCAATTCATTTACCTTATCCATATGACCTCATTGTGAATATCCACCACAAGTCTCATTACAACTGCTACTTTAGCCCAATGCCTTGCTCACTTGTTCTGAGCACCACCAAAACCTCTGAACAGAGAGATAACTGAAGCAGCTGCTGAGGAAACAATGCCACCAGCTCCAGTACCCATACCCATACCAGGCCCTGCATGACCCATTGTTGCCTGGGAGTACACGGCTGTAGAATTAAATGTCGAGAAAGTCTGGTGGGTTGGCACTAAGGGTGGTTCCAATAAAGGCAGGTTTGGTACCTGTAATATGAGAAAAAAGTAAATAAATAAAATTGAAAACACTCCTCTTCCTATATAATTTGTCAATACAGAATGTACATTATAAGAGATTTGAATTTGTTTCTCTTTGTTTCTCTGTCTTTCTGTTTCCTTATCTGCCTGCCTGTCTACCAACTAAATTGAAAAAAATACTTATCTACCTTAAATATCATTATAATCCTTAGCTTTCACTGAAATGTTGTCTATTGTATGGAGCACTTTTGTTAATATTAATACTTTAGTATTAATATTTGTATGTTTATCATAATCTTGTCATTGCATTACCTATTCAAAATGGACTGGGTACCTTGTGTTCAGGTTTACAACCTTTTTTGAAACAAGCATTATAATGTTCAAAATCAAATGAAACACAGCATGTACATTTTTCATTTTAACATCCACTTTTTCACTGTGTTACAGATTTTAAAATTATCAACTTTTTCTTTCATTGCTCTTCGTAAATAGTCAGCTATTGCATCTGTAAAAATGTAGAATAACCAAAATTACATGGTCTTCCTAAAGAACCTGAAGAGAAACAAGGATATTAACTCACACAGCTCAGGCCATAAAAACTGACTGAACAAATGCAATTACTCTTAATGGAGAAAAAAAAAAAAAAAAAAAAAAAAAAAAAAAAAAAAAAAAAAATATATATATTATATATATATATATATATATATATATATATATATATATATATATATATATATATATATATATATATATATATATATATATATATATATATATATATATATATATATATATATATATATATATATATATATATATATTTATATATATATATATATATATATATATATATATATATATATATATATATATATATATATATATATATATATATATATATATATATATATATATATATATATATATAGTATATATATATATATATATTATATAGTATATCCCATATATCATATGGCATATATATATATATATATATATATATAGTGTGGAATGTTCATGTTTCAGCTTCTGTCGAGTCACAATTCTAAACTGGCTAAATACTTACAGTTTCCCACTCAGCAGAGAGTGTGTCCGTATCTTCTTCTTCCTCAGAATCTGAACCCTCAGCATTGTCATCTTCCATGCCATCCTCCATGCTCTCCAACAAGGACTCTGCAATCTCAAAGCTTCCTTGCCTGAAATATGCAGTGCCATGATGATAAGCAATTACATTATCTAACATTTCGGCTATTGTTTATATCCCCAATCTAGTTCATGAAATCCAAAACCCAATAATCTCTCCAACAGATATCTCTTCCTTTCTTTAAAAAGAGATGGCAGGCAATTATCTACTTTCATTTCATTCTGGAAAATAGTCATAAAATATCACTTACCTGCCAAGATCTGCTATCTGCGTATCAAGAAGGGCTAACAGGTTAGGCATACTGTGTGTAGGTCGCAGCAATTTAGCCGGCACATTTTGAGACAAACACAGATATATTATGTTTGTATTAAGTCTTGCAACACGTCTTGCAAACTGCTGTTCACCCAGCTCATTTCTGCAGAATTCACTGACAAAAGAAGAGAAACATCATTTTGAATTTTTGATTTCTACTTCACTGACTCATAAAAACATCTTTAACACAAAATTATTCCCAATTTTTTTTTCTGAAAAACTAACTTCACAGTCTCTTCTACACCTATATGTCAATAAAAAAATAACCTTTAACAACCAACAACCTGGTTGTTACCTGTAGCAGAGCTTCTTTGGTAAAGTAACATCCAGATAAAATGCAAGTGTGTTGACAAGCTGTGTAAGATAAGTGAGGCCAGCACAAATACTGTAGCCTCCAGATCTCTCTTCTCCATCACTCTCCTCACACTCACCTCCACTTGCACCCACAGCTATAAAAAAGTGAGAAAAAAATATAGAATGCAATACTAATCAAAGTTAATAATTATAGATATAATGATCTAAATGACATAGTATAATTATGCTCACTAGGACTAATGCAAACTTAGAATCAAATTCTGACATACACAAAAGATTATAGGCAGAGTAGTCTCCAGATCCTGGTAACATCGGGTGAACAATGCGATACTGTGTCTCATGGGAAGTATCGGTATATACCCAGCGACCTCTTACATATGTAGTTTGTGATGCCTCTGCAATTGCTGATACCGTATCAAGGTGCTCTGGATCAGTATCCACGCTACAAAAAAGTTAGTATTTAAAAATAATACTTAAAGCAGTAGAAGTTTGGGTTCTGTTAAAATCTGTTTCAGTTACATTATCCTTATCAAGTACAATACATAAGTATATCAATGTTGTATATGTTTTGTTGTCTTTCTGGCTTTTAAATTTGATATCTGATACAACTTGTCTGACATATACATCATATAATTCCAAGAAATCACATCTAATGTACACACGTGAATTTTTTTTTATTACAAATCTCAAGCAATATCATGATTAGTCCTAAATTTTAAGTTGATGTCACAGCTTAAGCCAAATTCTTGATTATAAAAAAAAGGTTCCTATAACTCCATATGAGAAATGAATAAAATTTTCAACTTTTGACAATACCTTCTAGCTGGTTGGACTTCTGTAATTGGAAATATGTATCGCGTTAGCTGTCTTATATTGCCACGAACAACACCCTTCAGCTGAGCCTCACTAATAGCGAGTTGTTCTCTCTTGTCACGAATCTGTAATGTATGTCATGTCTAGAAATAACAAGTAACAAAAAAATATATATGGAAATATTTCTTTTTAAATTGACTGAAATGTAATAATGATAGTTTCTTATCTACATGAACAATTTCTATGGACAGAGTTCCAGTATATGTTATTTCATCAACTTCCATATATTCAGTAAGCTAATATTCAGTTTGATTTTCATTTAAAAATGAGGTAGTGGGTTGAGGTGGGTTTGACTGAGTTGGGATGGGTTGGACTGTTTTCAATTGGCTTGGATTGAGTTGGTTGGGTTGGGTTGGGTTGGTTGGTCGGGTTGGGTCGGGTTGGGTCGGGTTGGGTTGGGTCGGGTCGGGTCGGGTCGGGTTGGGTTGGGTTGGGTTGGGTTGGGTTGGGTTGGGTTGTTACGTTGGGTTACGTTGGTTGTGGTAAGCTTTGCTAAATCTGGCACAGATGTAAGTTTGTTGTCACATTACTGCATATCTTAAACCTACCATATGTGCTGCAACCTTAAAATCTGCACTAATGCTCTAGCACACCCCAAGCCACTGCAACAGAATTTGTGCTTCTGCTATGATACCTTGAATGTAGCCACAACCAAATGAAAACAAACAATATACCTTCTCTTGGTATTGGTGAAGGATTTTCCTCATCTTCGACAGTCTCTGCTGGAAGAGAGGGAGCTGCTGCCGCCGCATAGCATTAGTGTTGGACAGCTCAGCACTCTGGGTTTTCACTGGAATTCCAAATTTACATTTACAAAGCTGTCTGTTGCAATATAAAGAAAAGAAAAGAAAAGAAAAGGCTGTTGGGTATGACAAGCAAAGGACCATGGACAATGAACTCAGTCACAGCAATTACTGGGAATTCCTCTGCTCTAAATTAGTAACGAAACAAATGTAAACAAAATCAGTTCTACATAAAATTCATCATCATCACCATAATAATGATAAAAACAATAATAATAAAATAATAATGATAACTACTAATAATAAGATGAACAACAATAATGGTAACAGTAACAATAATAACAACAACAACAACAACAACAACAAAATAATAATAATAATAAAATTAATAGAAATAGTAAGGATAATAATAATAATAATAATAATAATAATAATAATAATAATAATAATAATAGTAATAGTAAGGATAATAATAATAATAACAATAATAATAATAATAATAATAATAATAATAGCAGCAACAACAGTAACAAGAGTAATAACAATATTAACAACAGTAACAATAATCATAACATTAATAATCATAACCATAATAATGATGATAATAATAAGGATTCTGAAAATAAAATTAACAATAAAAAAAACAACAACACAAACAACAACATCATCTACCTTGTGAGATATCCTCTTTGGTACTGTCTATGACCAGTTTCAGCAGCGATACCCTCTCTTGCACTTCCTTGATTCGCTCCTTCTGTAATGAAAGAACAGCATAAGCCAAAAGCTACATTGACAGTTTGTATGAGGAGAAAGAAGGGAGAGGAGGGAGAGAAAGAGGAGGAAGGAGGAAGGAAGGAGGGGAGAGGGGTGGGAGTCAGGAGGAGGAAGAAAAAAGAGAAAAAGAAGAAGAAAGGTAAAGGGGAACACACTATGCATCACTGTTGCTAAGTGTGGAGGAAGAAATGGTACGCACACAGGAGGAGGGAGGAGGGAGGGCTGGTGACAGTAGGGAAAGGAAAAGGGGGAGGGGGGAGGGAAAAAGGGGGGGAGGAGGAAAAAGGGGAGAGGCGGAGGAAAGGGGGAGGGCGGAAAAGGGGGAGGGCGGGGGAGCGGCGGAGGGAAAGGAAAGGGGGGGAAAAGGGAAGCGGGAGGGAAGGGTGGGGAGGGAAAGGGAAAGGGAGAAAGAGCGAGAGAGCGAGCGAGAGATGGGGGGGAGAGAGAGAGAGAGAGAGAGAGAGAGAGAGAGAGAGAGAGAGAGAGAGAAAGAGAGAGAGAGAGAGAGAGAGAGAGAAGAGAGAGAGAGAGAGAGAGAGAGAGAGAGAGAGAGAGAGAGAGAGAGAGAGAGAGAGAGAGAGAGAGAGAGAGAAAGAGAGAGAGAGAGAGAGAGAGAGAGAGAGAGAGAGGAGAGAGAGAGAGAGAGAGAGAGAGAGAGAGAGAGAGAGAGAGAGAGAGAGAGAGAGAGAGAGAGAAGAGAGAGAGAGAGAGAGAGAGAGAGAGAGAGAGAGAGAGAGAGAGAGAGAGAGAGAGAGAGAGAGAGAGAGAGAGAGAGAGAGAGAAGAGAGAAGAGAGAGAGAGAGAGAGAGAGAGA